CGGCGACAGCGACTCACCCGAGGCGGCCAGGAGGCCGGAGGCGCACAGCAGCGCGCCGCAGAGCGCGGCCAGCACGCGGGGTTCCTGCATGCTGCGGCCGGCGCGAGTCCTCGCCTCCTGTGTGTCCGGCCCGGAATAAATCGCGCGGCTCAGCACCTCCCACCGGCCACCAGCTCCGCCCCGTAGGCGGGAAAGGACGGGGCGGGGCTCCTGGCGGCAGAGGAGTGCGCGGAGCGAGCCGGGTCCCTGGACCCACCCCCCTGTCGGCCCCGCCCCGCAGCTCGCGTCCCTCGGGCGACCGGTGCCAGGCCTGTGAGTGGACCAGGCAGAGAAAAACTTAGGAAGAACTTTTTTTTTAATTTTAGACTTCAAGGCGGACAGGATGACTCACGCCTATAATCCTAGCAGTGCAGGCTTGAGAGGTCGAGGCAGAAAGATTGCAAGTTCGAGTCCTGCCTAGCCAATTTAGAGCCTCAGCGAGACCCTGCCTTAAAATTTAAAAATAAAAGACGGGGGCCATAATTGAGTGGCAGGGCATGCACGAGGCCTTAGGTTCAACTCCCCAAAAAAATAAAGCGGGGAGGAGACTCAGTGTGAAGGCCCTGGGTTCAATCTCCAGGACCGGGAGATCTGAAAAGACACACAGCTGCTTGTTCCTCATCCGAGACGGAAGACTGTGGTGAGTACCCTGCTGCCCTGATCAGATGCGCAACGATCGAGGCATCCGCCAGGCCCCCGCGTTTGCGTCTGCACAGTGTAAACGGGCGGGGCTCCTCTGGTGACCCCTATCAAAATGACAGATGCCACCGAGACACAGCCGTTGTCTCGCAGTCACTCACTCAACAGAAATCCCACTTTCAAAATGACATCTAAGCTAACGTATCACAGCAGCAGCAACCGAAATAGTAAAAAGACCAAAAGAGGAATCCCTACCCTTGATCTGTAAAGGTTCCAAAGTTGCATATCCTAGGACCTAGCGGCCATAGGAGCGAGCTTCACCCTCTCCTTACCTCTGTCTCGCGGAAAGTAGCCCGGAACAATAACAAGGAAATGAGCGTGTGGTGGCTGCCCAGGGCTAAGGGCCAGAAGCTGGAACGTGAGGGCCGCTTGCTGGTCACTGCACACTTTTCATTAACTGATGCTTTTGTTAAAATCACCTGTGAGTATTGTCTGTTTAGAAAGAAATGACCATACACGTCTGTAATCCCAGCACTCAGGAGGCTGAAGCAGGAGGGTTACCCTGTACTGGAGGCCAGCCTGGGCTATTCAAGGCCAGCCTGCCCTTCATAGCAAACCCTGTCTCAAAAAAAAACAAACAAAAATGACTTGAGTAGCAGTGTTCCCTCAGACTAGCAAAATGAAAGAGCAAAAGAGAAGCCACACACTGGCTGCAGGTCCTTTTTAAAACTGTTCCTCCCCAGGTGTGGTGGTTCATGCCTGTCACCCCAGCATTCTGGGAGGCTGAGACAGGAGGATTGCAAGTTCCAACCCAGCTCGGGCCATTTAGGCATTTAGTAAGACACTGTCTCAAAATAAAAAACACAAAAGGGCTGGGGATGTATGTAGTTCAGTGCAAAGCCCCTGGGTTCCATCCTCAGGACTACAAATAAACTATTTTGGAAAGGCCGGATGTGATCAACTCAGTGCTCACTGGAAAAGCGTTTGATAATCCCCAACGATCCTTTCGGACAAAACACTCAAGACTTTAGGATTAAGAGGGAACTTCCTTGACTAGATAAGAAAATACCTATGAAAACCCACAGCTCACACCAGCGCTAACGCTGAAAGACTCAGTGTGCCCTGAAAATCAGGAACAAGGCAAGGACTTCTGCTCTTATGGCTTCTATTCATTACTGTCCAAGAGGTTCCAATGAGGACGCTGAGGTCAGAACCAGAAAATACACATCAATTGGAGAGGGGGAAGTAAACTATGTCTGCCTCTGTTCACAGATGACACGATCGTGAGTGCAGAAAACCACAAAGAAGCCGCACACAAAAGCAGCTATTAAAGCTATTAAATGACCAGACAGGCAGACAGACAGACAGGGTGCACATACCTGTAATCCCACCTAGGGTGGCTGAGGTAGGAGGAATCGAAAGTTCAAGGCCAGCCTGGGCATTTAAGGGAGATTCCATCTCAGAATAAAAGAAAACTTTAATGGACTAGAAGTCAGGCTGGTGGTGCAGGCCTGTAATCCCAGCAGTCTGGGAGACTGAAGCAGGAGGACCACAAGTTCAAGGCCAGCCTGGACAACTTAGTAACTTAGTAAGACCGTGTTTCAAAATAAAAACTAAAATTTTATTTTTTTAAAGTTTGGATGGGCTGGGGATTTAGCTCAGCGGCACAGCGCCTTCCTGGCAAGCGCAAGGTCATGAGTTCAATTCCCAGTACTGGGAAAAAAATAATAAAGTTTGGAAATGTGGCTCAATGTGAAGGCCCTGGGTCTATCCCCAGAGAAAGGAAGGAAGGAAGGAAGAAAGAAGACATACCGCAGTGAAACAAAAGCTGTTTCTCTATGTCCTGTCCTTCAGAAGGTTGGTGTTACAGCAAAGTATGAGGTGCATTTTGGTGAAAAATGCTTTCATATAAGAAAGTTTTAAATTTTTTCTACCTCTCCCCCAAAAAGCTTTGGGTGCTGACCTAGACAAGAAAAAAAATTTAAATGGCGCTAATTTCACACAAACCTCAAGACTATAACTAACTTTACTTCCCATCTGATTTTTTTTAAGTTTTTAATATCCATTGATCTATACCAAATCAGTAGACTTAACTTTTCTGCCCTACGAAGTTTTCAGCTAGATTGGAGTCAAATTAATCTCACTGTTTTGTTTGGTTCTGGATTTGGGGGTGTTGTTTTATTTTCTGATGCAGAGTCTCCTCTGTAGTCCAGGTCACTGTGTAGCCCAAGCTGGCCTAGAACTCGCAAAGGTACTCCTGCCTCAGTCTCCCCCCAGTGCTGGGATTGCAGGTAGGTGCCACCATGCCTGGTTTCACTTACTTTCATTTTCTTTGCAATGCTGAGGATAAAACTCAAGTCCTCGGGCATGATTTAATCTTACTTTAAAGTGCAAGAAAGGAAACGCAAGACCAGGTTTGCTCTGGGATATATAAAGAGAAGCACACCTCCTCAGCACAGGTCAAGAAATAGCTTGGGAAGAACAGGCTGCAGGACATGGTGACCCAAGTAGACCACCAAGAAGCGAGGAGATTCCAGACTCGGCCTAGAAAGTAGGTCCCGCCCACCCTGGCTTTAACTGTACCCAGATCTCAAATTGGTCTTCAGTTCCCTATGGATGAGGCACAGGCCCAGCATAGCCAAGCCAAAATCCTCCAGTCAGTGGGGGCCTCTCTACCATGGCTTGTGAGTGTTCACGTGAATAGTGGCAAAATAATTGACTGAAAAGCCTAGGAGGGCTGGGAATAGTGGCACAGACATATAAGCCCAGCACTCAGGAGGCTGAGGCAGGAGGATCAGTATGAGTTCAAAGCCAGCCTGGGCTACATAGTGAGTTCAAGGCCAGCATAGAATACATAGCAAGACCTTGTTTCAAAATACACACACAAAAGAAGCTTGGGAGGAGCCTGGCCTGGTGGTGCACCTATAATCCCAGTACTTGGGAGGCTGAGGCAGGAGCATTACAAATTTAAGACCAGCCTGGATTACATAGTGAGATTTTGTCTTAAAAAAAAGAAAAGTGCTGAGGAGTTGGAATAGCACAAACACTGCCTACCTGCTAAGTACTAATTGAAGTTCTTACCTAGAATAAATCATACAAAAATAAGTAATGAGGTCCCCCAAACATCCGTGCTGAGATTATTTAGCCTAACTTGAAAGCAATACAAAGTGCTTTCTTCCATACATCAAGGGAAAACTTTACACTGATATTTCTCAAAAATCCATTATCAGAGCACATGCTTAGTATGCATGATGCCCTGGTTTAAATCCCCAGCACACATACACAAAGTGTTTAAATCAGTTATATCTCCAGCTCCAGCCTCAGACTTTTAAAACACACTGTTCCTGGGCTGTAGGTATAGCTCAGCAGAGCACTACCTTGAGTGTGCAAGGCCCTGGTTCAATCACCGGTGTCACCAGGCCAGATCCAAGAGAATCCAGAAGCTGATACAGGAATTTAATCTACTTTTTTGCAGCAGGTTTGCTGCCTCCTGTCACTCAAAAAGAATTTTCAGGACTCATCAGAAAGGGACAGATTTACTAGGCAGAGACTCAGCAGTGAAGCACGGGCACTCAGAAAAATGAGAGGAGTTACAGAATAGAACTGAAAACATTTATATTTTTCTTAACTGGGTGGAAATCCTGGGGAAAGGGGCTCCCTCCCAAAAAGGGGTGTCCCTAGCCCATTCCACAGTCATGGGTAGTTCTTTTGTTTTGTTTTATGCATAGGTAATTTAAACATTCTCTGAATTTTCTGCCTTCTCCTTTATCTTAGGGTCAGGCTCCTGTTACTTTTTAAATTGAGCCAATATATTGCTTTTAATGATAGGTCTGGTCAGGAAAGAGTCAAAATCTACCCTGAGGAATGTTGCCCGGGGCTTCCTTGGAGAACTTCAGCTGAGTCCTGGAAGTTGTAGTCTTATTAAAAGTACAGTTTTTAGTTACAATTTCCTTGTCTCCTTTCCACCTACTTTTATTTCTTCTATCCTACTTCACCAGCAATGCAAAAAAAAAAATCTTTTATTTTTATTTTTATCCCAAAAAGACAAATACTATACCATTTCTTTGTCAGCACCAAGGAGAGGAGTAGAGGCACAAGAACCCCTGCCCAGCAGGCCTTGAGGAGTGAAAGGTCTGGAAGCCAGTGTGTACGGACATCCAAAGCACAGGGACTGAGATTATGAGGCCCTTGATCCTTCCCTCCTGGCTCTGGGACATCCGTTCTGGGTAGTGTGAAGGATCCACGGTGCCAGGATGGGGCCTGGTGAGGTAGTGGAGGATCCAGAGGTGAAGCAGCCCTGGGCCTCTGTGTAGTGGAAAAATGGGGTGCTGCTTGAGGCACCCTGGTGCACTGGGTGCTCTCTTCCTTTGCTGTGCCCCACTGTGCTAGTCAGTCTTTTCCATCCTGAGCCCTCTTTGGACTGTGTAGTCCACATCTCTCAGCCTTGCCTATGGCTCCCAATACCAAATGGTTTCCTAGGTC